GGATGCCTGCGAACGTTCCAAGGCACAACTGGATCTCTTTTCTGTGCCCCCTGTGGTGACCTCAGTCCAAGAAGGTCAGTGGATTCGATACAGTCCTCTTGCACCCCCTTCGGTCGCGGGTCCCCTCCAATTTAACATTGCTAACCCTGTGAATGCCTACATAGATTTGAGTCAATGTTACCTCCGCATCTGCCTCAAAATCAAGTATACAGATGGTACGGATGCAAATCATGATGGCGAACAGGCACTCATCGTGTCCACGGTGAACAACATGATGCATTCCCCCCTTTCATGAAGTAGGACACAACCAGCTGGAGGACACAACCAGCTGGAATTACTCCTTCAATCGGTACCTATCCCTACCGAGCATATTTGGAAACATTACTGAGTTATGGGAAGGCAGCCAAAGGGACCCATCTCCAGTGCCCAGGTTGGTACACAGATAAAGCTGGAAAAATGGATCACTTTAATGCTGTCGCCCAGAATGCCAACACAGGACTTGTCGCACAACGATGAGTCATTCTGCCCACCCAAGAAGTGAAACTGTGATCTGTTTCTCCAAGACCGGTACCTCGTGGATGGAGTCCCCATGAAACTAGAATCTGATTCGCAGCCCGAGTGATTTCTACTTGATGAGTGCTGGAGGTGCCGAGTGCCGATTTGAACTGACCAACGCAGAGTTTTACGTGCGCCAAGTCAACATTGATACTGCCATACTGGAACAACACGTGATACACATGCCACCAGAAGTCACGGCCAAATATCCTTTGACCCAAGTCCAAGTCACAGCCCCTGACATTCCAGGAGGAGGACGCGGTTTCCACAAAGATCAACTGATTGGAGGCCAGCTGCCCAAACGAGTGGTGTTGGGATTGGTGGACAATGATGCTTTTGCTGGAGGCAAGGAAAAGAACCCCTTCCATTTCAAGCACAACGTGACCAGCCAAAAGCTGAAACTCAATGGGCAGGAAGAGCATGGCAATGAAATCAAAAGTGACTTTCAGAACAACAGTGCCTCGCTCAAACAGTTGTACATGAACCTGTTCCACAACACGGGACACCTGTGGCAAGAACATCCCTGCAACATCAACCTGGACGAGTTAAGGAACGGATTCACTAAGTGGGTGGTGGATCTGACAGCGGATCTGGGAGCATATGAAGGGTATAACTACCCACGAAAGATGGGTAAGTTGGGACTTGAACTTCAATTTGCAGAACCCCTACAATGTGCCGTCACTCTCGTCTGATACGAGGAATACGAAAGAGTTTTGGAAATTGATCGGTTCCGCAATGCTCTGATGGTCTAAGGATGGACGACACTGGCTTGACGACCAAACACTTGAATGTCTATGTACAACAGGATTCCCTGCTTCGACCCCTCTACCAAGGTACCTTTGCCAGAGATCACTTTGCAACCACCGTGCTGTGTGAACAGCAGGGACATTATCCTAAAGCCTACATTGTCAACACAGACGCCAGTCATCTCCCAGGACAACACTGGGTGTGCGTGTATCGTCCAGCACCGGGTGTCTTTGACTACTTTGACAGTTATGGAGTCGACCCCTACCAGCAGCATCCAGACTTTTGGAATGCCATGACCTTTACCGGTTGGCTCAGACAACAGTGGAATTGCCAATCACTTCAACCCTGGTTCAGTGCCTCTTGTTGGATGTGCTGTTTGTACTGGCTCATCGTGTCCGTGGATGGTCTTCTGACGAGGTGATGGAGCAGTTTGATCCCTACGATACCCTCGTCAATGAAGAACGTGTAAAATGTTGGTTTCAACCGGCACGCCTGACAGACAACAACACCCATGATCCACAACCCTGCCAAAGGACACAACCTTATCGTTCTGATGTTATGATGTTCTGAAGTTACAGTTCATACCGTTTGTAAACAAAAGATCAGGGACACTCCTAATCCTGCATCTTTTGTCAAAGTGTTCTTGTTAACGGGGAATTAGCGTTGAAAAATGTCAACCTATCGTTGTTATTATTGTTGTTTGCATTGGATGTAGCATTCTTTTGAGAGAGATGGGTGGTCCTGAAATGGGCCGTTGTAGAGTGAGGGTGTACCTCACAGGGACCACAGCTGGGTCATACACTGACACGGGTGAATGCCCAGCTTTCGTTTTACTGTACACTTGCTTCCATGGGTCACACGCTTGATATTATAAGTGTCCTTCAGTATGGTGCCACAATAGACACACTTTAGGACTACATCATCGTCACCACTCTCCCTCCCTCCCCTCTCCGCTCGTCTTCAAGATGCATCCCATCACGTGAGATCCCACCGGATGTGCCGCCAACTTGGCCTGGATGGGACGTCATCGGGAGGCGCGCACACCGGAACCGGACATGACGTCATCGCGATGCGCATGCACACACACCGGAACCGGAACCATCCCCCTTCCTGGAACTGGAACCACCCCTTAGGGGAAGTGACGCCATATTGGGTCACGTGACCGGAAGTGCCGCCATCTTAAAAAAGACCCCCGGGTGGCACTGTACACTACTAAGAGGCGATCACACTTTGATAAGGTGGTGGGGCTTTATTTTGTCTGACTGCTGTGTCGGATGGCAATGATCGCCGTTTGTTTTCAGAGGGAAGCGTCCGTGAACTCTTCCACATCTATCATTTTTGGTAGAAGACATACAGTTCCGTCAACGCGTCACTCACGGTCGGTTAGGGCATCGACAGAGCAAGGGAGACAACTCATACTGCGACAATGAGTCACTAAACTCCACGAAATTTGAATCAACCTCGTGGAAAAGTACATGAATCATAAATACCTTTTTCCGGTTGTCAGGACTATCAAACACGGGATCATATTGATATGAACGAGCATGTGTTAGGTCATTAAGAAAAAATGGAATGCTCAAGGATTTCATCGTTGCCATTGCCATCATCTGAAAGTAAGCTTTTCACTCAGACAGACGTACGTCAAGTCATCTGATGCCAACTCTGCTCATTTAATTAGTTATTTCATGGGGTGTTGATGGATGTGAGGGATGATTAGAGTATTTTAAAACGTTGTATGGCTTCTGATGGTATCTTAGTGGCGGATCGGTGTGTGTGTGTGTGTGTGTGTGTGTGTGTGTGTGTGTGTGTGTGTGTGTGTGTGTGTGTGTGTGTGTGTGTGTGTGTGTGTGTGTGTGTGTGTGTGTGTGTGTGTGTGTGTGTGTGTGTGTGTGTGTCTGTGTGTGTGTGCCTGTGTGTGTGTGCCTGTGTGTGTTGTCCCGGGAAGGGGATCCCCCAAACACACCAAACACCCCCTATTTAAAATTTCTGGATCCGCCTATGATAACTGTTATATGTTGTGTGGAGCCGCGGTTCAGTGGGTTAGATCGCTGACTTTGTGTACTGTGAGAGTTTGAATCCCGAATGGGTCTCAAACTAACAAAAGTACTAGAATATGTACCTGACTGATAAAAGGTAATCCACAAAATAACGTTTGTTACATTTGACCACTTTCTAAATGGCATTGTGCATCAATATTATATGAATACATGACACAGCGTTTTTTTATGGATAAGAACTTCTTTTCATTCTTTAAACGACGTTTCAGAGCTAATCCTTGCTCCTTCATCAGGTGTTGTCCATTAAAAACGAGTCATGCATTCATGTTCGTCCAACTTCTAAATGCCTTTCAAGAACTTTATATGTTATGTATTTTAAAAATTAAACTACAAATTTTAATAAGGTCAGTTTTGGGACTTGTTCGTATTAACATTACAATGCAGACTGGTCAACGAGTTCCGAATAAATTCTGCAAAATTCAAAGTAAAATCACAGATTATGTGTTGAACCATGAATGTACCCTGCTGTAAAGCATAATGTAGTAAAGCACAGAGATTTTATAGTAGCATTTTTACTTATTTCAAGTTATATGATTTAATACTTGCATCAGATCTATTTTAATATCCCCATGATTACCATGCTTCAAATGATCAACATGTAGCAAACATATGCCCAAATACTGGCTTCAGGAGATCAATAGTAGTACTCAGGACAGGTTAGACTGGTAAAAACCATATGCTGCACAAACAGATAGCGGCATGAAAACCTGCCTAAAGCTTTCATTCTCAAAAGAATATTTCCTTTGCAATTTTATGGAGAAGTATTTGCATAATGATTATGCAGTGGGATTTTGTATATATTTGTATAAATATCATCTCATCTAAGGTTTATTATGAGTGAGTGAGTTTAGTTTTACACGACACTCAGCAATATTCCAGCTATATGGCGGCGGTCTGTAAATAGTCGAGTCGGGACCAGATAATCCAGTGATCAAGAGCATGAGCATCGATCTGCGCAATTGGGAACTGATGACATGTGTCAGCCACGTCAGCGAGCCTCACCACCCGATCCCGTTAGTCACCTCTTACGACAAGCATGGGCTACTGGAGGCTCATTCTAACATGGACCTTCACGGGTCGTTTATTTTGATCATGAGCATTTTTTCAATAATAATTACATCAACATTTGTTGTTTTTCACACAAATTCCGACATTTCACATGACAATGGTGTAAAAATAATAAAAAGATAGATCTGTTTCAAAAACATTAACAAATTGATACTATAAAGCACATATATATGTACTCATAATGTCCTATTGTACTTTTCTCAAGCTGTAAGACGAGCGGATTGGGATCATGGGCGGATCCAGGAATTTTGAAGGGAGGGGGGGGGGCTTTAATTTTTTTCAGTGTAGTCATTTTCAAAAGGGGGTTCGAACCCCTGAAACACACAACCCCCCAAACACCCCCTTGGATCCGCCACTGTGGATGCACAATGTGAAAAACTGACACTCCCTACCTATGTCGTTTGATGAAAGTAAGTTTAAAAAGAGGGTCAAATACATTTTAACCTGCCTGCGCCTGTAAGTCATTTCTTACCGTTTCCGTGGGCGAGCTGCAGTGTTTCGCGGCATACTTGCGTGCAGCTGTACTGTAGCATATTTCACGGGGAACATTTTACCGCGGTACCGCTCCCTGCAAACTCAACACAACGGCTCCTCCGTTCCTCTCAATGTAGTAGGGGCGTTTGGCACTGACATGGAGCTTGCAAGAGCTATTCGCGATGTCAACAAGTCCCCCAATCTGCATATTGGGCAATCAAGATAATGTTAGTGTGCAAAGACTTGCTGTATGCCACCAGTTATACATGAAGACTTAGAATGCGATCTTTGCTGTGGGCTATTTTGACCATCACGTTTTATCTTGGGATTCTAATACAGCAATCGAAAGGTGAGACAGAAATCATTTGCCTGGTCCAACCCTCGGCCTCCACAACAGCTGGTGTCCCGGTTTAGACACAAAAATTAGATCGTATGATAAAATGGTACTACTCCAAATGGTTGATCTTGGAAAGACTGATACAAATGCACATAAATTCCTCTGTTTACTAAAACAGCCAGTACAATATCTTGAGAGCTTGATATGTGTGTGTGTGTGCGTGCGTTGGGATGGGAATATGTTCTATTATCTATCAACTGGTCAATTATATGCTATAATGGTATATACATATCTACAATTCCCTCCCACATTCAGGTTCCTACAACAGGCTGACACTGATTTTGCATTAGCATTCTGAAGCACCATCTAATTCACATATTACTTACATATGTGATGATCCGGATTAGAATTGGTCTTCAGAAACTCATGCTTGTCGTAATAGGTACATTAAAAAGAACACATCAAATAATTTGATCTTAAGGTACTTTTTGTGAAAACATTTCAACCCGAAGATTGAATCAAGTCGAGGTTACTTCAATAGGTGTTTTTACAGTTTTAGTGAGTGAGTTGGATTTTACGCCGCTTTTAGCAATATTGGGCTTCACACATTGTACCCATGTGGGGAATCGAAACCAGGCCTTCAGCGTGACGAGCGACCGCTTTAACCATTAGGCTATCCTACCGACCCTTTTACTGTTTCAGAACCAGTTAATTTAGGTCAACAATAAAATCTATGTGTGCAATGGAACATGAACATACAAACCTGGGAATATTTTCAAATTTATATAAATAAATTGAATATATATATATGTTTAAACTTTTTTTTTCTTTATAATGGACAATTTTTCTCCTGTTTCCCCTGTTACAATAAAAGGCAATAGAGCCAGGGGACTCCAGGGACTTTTGCAAGAAAACTTTGACAACAGAAAAACAGGATATTTTTTCGAACAAAGCACAAAACAACAACACAAGACCCCACAACACATTCACTCACCAATCACACTTCCAAGTTTCAAATAATTACAGTAAAATTAAGTTCAAGTTCATTCAGCCTATTATTCTTCTTGATTAGGGAGCAAGAAGAAAGAATTCAGAAAGTCATTTCAAATTTGCAAAATCATGAAATATCATCCATTTTTATAAAACTTATTTTGTTCACTTTTACTGAAGGATATATACTTTTCAATAAAGTACCTGGCTAGCTATTCTCGAAACATTCGTAGCCCTACGAACTTCTTAAGCCCATTCTTAACACATTGGCTCCGATCAAAGTTACGAATTCTTAGGGCTACGAATGTTTCGAGAATAAGGGCCATGGGTCCTGATCCACAAAGCATTCTTAGCCTACACTATTCGTAAGAGTTTACGATCGAAATAAAGACAGTTTTACTAATATTTACGACCGATCAACAAAGCGTTCTTAATCCATTCGTAAATTCATTATCTTACGAGCATTGTCGAAAATAAAGATCGTCGCTCTCCTGCTGTGGAGGCGACGAATATAGGGGGTTTCCCAATGACGTCATTACTTCCAGGGAATCCCTTCACTCGATTAGCAGATGACTATTTCGTGTGCTATTGCTGTCACCAACACCCCAACATGAATTCCAGTCAATAGTCAGGCACCATCAAGCGCCAGATAAACATAAACTGGACCCACACCGTGTTGAGTCCTCTCGTGGAATTTGTCGTCAGTCATGAACAATCTAACAAACATCATGAAGAAGAAAGCATGGGGATGACATTTCACAGAGGTGAGTGAATCCATGAATTTGCACGAGTCACATCTATTAACTTCAGTAGAACTGGAAGTATGTAAATAATGATCACGTAAAACATCGATGTTTTGTTTTGAGTATCGAACTAGGTTGAAAGCGTTCTGACGGTGACTATCTGTATGTATCAATCACCAACCTGTCACCGCATGTTGGTAAATCAGCAACTAGTCTTGTTCATGGAAAGGATATTATGGTCAGGAGCTAATGCTGTCACATGGGAAGCCATTTTTGACTCACAGAAAGGGACAGCACTCTATCCATCTTTTAGACGGGGCAATTCCTAGATGTATTATTTTTGAATCAGAGTTCAAATCCCCCTCTCTCTCACTATGTATGTATCAAAATACCAAGATTAGAGCTTTTCGGTCGACGTTTCATAAATGTTCATTGACATTTGTTACAGAATTAGTGCAAACAGTGGGGTCAAGAGTCTTACCAAAGATGTCAAAAAGAAGTGGATGGACTACAAGTAAGTGCTGAAATATATCAATATATTTATTGTGAACATAATATTTTGTATTAAATAATTCTACTTGCTTGGGATATACCACGTGTTTGTCCTCACAGTAAATATATATTTATACTTTTTTTTGTTCTATTAGGAGTCAAACTAGGAAAAAGGAGGCAGAAAGGAGGAGGGAGGCAACCAAAACTGCATTCTCTTCCCACAGAGGTTACTCCTATCATATCTTCCTACGTAACCTCTGTTCTAATACGGCCCTTTCATGGTGTGAGTGTTCAAGACTCGTGATTGGAGGTAATCAGATTTAGTTGTGCAATCAGCGACGTTGTTTCAAAAGTGATCATTTGCAAGGCCTCGGTAATTTCCGTATACTTCGAGAAAACTAAACCTCTTCCCCTGCGCGATGCGCAAACGTTTCTTCTAGACAGAACTCAGTCATGTTATGGCGGATCAGTGGCGTCTCCATCGCCCTCGTTGACAACGGACAAGCTAGCCATTAAACGTCTTGTATGTAACATCAACACAAGTCCCCGGCAGATGGGGGATATTTGTGGCCTCACATTTGCTTGTGTTAGTCAAGTTGAATCTAAGTCGACGTAACACGTGTTCTGATTGGATAGAAAGAAGGGAGATAATTCGTGTTGCGATCTTTTGCCACTAGGGGATTTTACGAGAACCGGGAAATATGGCCGTATTAGAACAGAGGTTACGTAGGAAGATATGACAGGAGTAACCTCTGTGGGAAGAGAATGCCAAAACTGGTGGGGGCCTGCACCATCAAGCCTAACAGAAATGGAACAACGGGTGAGCCTAGTCCTTCCTGAATCATGAATATTTTTATATTAAGATATATGAAATATATCGGGGCATATTGTTTACGCTGAATACAGTTGCTGTTGAATTGTAATTTAACAATTTCATTTCAGGTTGTATCATTCCTGCCTTCATGCACTATTCAAGGTTGTGACGGTGGCCTTGAAAGTGAGGAAATTGAATGTAAGTTCATGAAATGTTGTATGTGGAATTGTTTACAGCTGAAACATTCTCAAATGAAATGTTTCAGAATATATTTGACACATAGTGTAGATTTTCTCACAAATAAAAGTGAATTTGAAACTGTAAAGAAACCGGTGAAATTAAAATTGATTTAAAAAATTTGAATAAAATGCAGTTGAGTTACCATACTTTTTGTCTATTGTACCTTTTTGATTGTCTGAAAATTGCACAATTGAAAGTACTATTAATGTTTTACTTACAGACACTACTCCAGCCACCCCAGAGACTCTCCATTTACTGCCGAATTTGCCACGTGATGGGGCCTGTAAATGTAGGTAAATTGTTGGTGGTATGCAATTGTGCGATTGTTCGAGTTATGTCCCCTTTCAGCGGAAGTGGAAAGCGAGCATATGGCATATTGGATGCGATGCGGTGCAGTGCCAGTTGTGAAATCGGGATTTGTGTGATTCTCCTTGCGATTGTAGTTTCAAATTGACATGTGCGATTTGCAATGTTTTTTAGATCCTCAATGTTTTTGTGAGGCCTCAACAGGTCTCTGTAAATAACTCTTGGATATCAAGCTGTGTTGCGATCTATAATTATGGGATTTAAGTTTCGTCCAACGACAGAGGGCCTATGTACCACCTAACCTACCTACTCAGAGAGTGTGTTGTCAGCAGATGATGTTCCCCAAGGTTGTTAACATGTACATCATGGATATAATGCTCATTAAGTTTAGGACAAGACATTTATAGAGTTCTGTGTGGGGAGAGATTTATGACACTTTATAGCAAGTAATCTTTCACAACATACTATGACATCATATCTACAATATCATAGTATCACAGGCTGTACTGGAATGGCTCAATGACTTGATAGTCCACTCTCTCTATGTGTTCATGTTTCACATTGAAGAGAGAAGGTGGGTGATATACATTTAATAGTAAAATGTCTTTACTCAGGATTTCGGATTCCTGTGATTATATTTTCATGTCTACGTTCACATTTCTGAATCAAATGATGTGTATCTTTATTGCAGTTGATGCATTTGATACAGTTGATGCAGTTGCACACATGATGGCCCCAAAGACTCTCAGTGATATGTAATGTAATACATGAAATTTCAAACATACATCGATGGTATTGTATTTTGCTAAAGAACTTGTTTGTGTGTATTTGCTATACTGATGGATGGGAAATATCTCCTGTGCTATATGATATGAAACTATATTTCAGATAAGGATACTATTGTTATGATAGAGAGGGAGAAACTGAACGTCCTTAAGGACCTGATTGAAGTTCAAAAGAAAAGACTACACATTGAGGAGCAGAAGTTGGCCTATATCACCTCTCTGCACAAGACTGGCCAATCTGAACTCATTTGTCCCCAATCATTCAGTTTCTTTAAGAGATGATGCATTTGCACTACTATAAAAAATCAGACAGTGTTTGTAGCTTTTGTTATTATTTGTCATAATTTTGCCCCATGACAGCATGATTAAGAGAAGGAGTTATTTATGACAGCTTGTCGAACTTTGAGACCATCATTTAGAGGTCCCTGGTAAGGTATCCCATGTTCGTGGGTAAGGTTTACTATAGTACTGTCGGAAATAGAAAAAAAACTGTTTTGAGTCTGTTACACTGTATCCCTAAAAGTCACACAATTGCAAATAACATATGTCGAAATAACCCACTTCAGCCTAACTGGGCGTTCAGTAGGTGACGTAATAGGAGATCCAGAAAAGCATGTTTACTCGTAAAATTGGGCGAAACTT